ACAGAAACATTAAATAATTTCCCTGAACTGGCACTATCAGCAAACAAACCCGCAAAAATATCGTTCCCCAAAACAGAATTATTTATTCCGAAAACAGATTCATTATTAAGCCAGAAATCACAAATCATCAGCGGGAGCGGCCAAACCACGGAGGAGAAAAATTACTATCTCATTTTCTCCATTCATTAGTGTTGTAATTAATTTAATTATCAAAAAAACAAAAATTTTTAATAAGTGCTATTAGAAGAAAGTTTTTTTCGGGCAAGTGTTTTTAAGTTCAAGTCTTTATCTTGTAAGAGAAAGAATAAATTTAGTGTTGGCTTAAATTACCCAAAAGACAATTCGGTGTAATTTTAATCTATTTTTAAAAAATAAAATTGGATTAAAAAAGAAATTAATGATTATAATGATTTAACAAATATTAGAACATTTAAATTGGTAGTATGAGCCATCATTTTTTTTTCGCTTAATTAGTTTATTCACGAAATCCCGATTGGGTGTTGGGGATTGGAATAATTGTTTTCTTATTATTTGTTGCCTACAATGCTTACATTTTTTTTTATGTTTTTTTTGAAAGAGGTTGAAAACTAACCGAAGAGGCTATTATGGATGATGAAAATCAAAGGGAAGAAATTAAAATGCTTCGCCAACAGTTAAAAAAAACCCAAGCCGAACTTTTATTAACCGAAAATAAATTAAATTAACCTGCTAATGTGATGAAGTTGACAAACAATCTGCAATCTTTGGAATCCACGAGGGAAGTCATTTTTTTTAAGTTTGGAGAGAAGTTGGAAAAAGACAAAGTGTTGGAAAATTTTTCGGTTAATAAAGAAGTATTAGAAGGAATTCTAACCGGAGATGAAGATTATTATCTTTTCGAAGTTCATGGCAAAAAATTGTTTTGTGAACATGGGCTTATTAACATAATAGCAATTCACAAAAATACCAAGTTTTTCGATTATAAGAGGGAATTTTTTGATAAGAAAAGTTCTAAAAGTCAACCTTGCCTTTTACGACTAGAATATACAAGTAGTGATACTGACCGGAGGATTTTTTTGTCCTTTTTAAATGGTTTGTTAATACTTACTAGTGATAGTTATACAATAGACCTAGTTTTGGCTAACGGCCGGATTGAATTTCAACTTAGCGACAAGGCAGATTTTAATGATTTGTATGACGAGCCATTTATAGAAGTGGAAGGAGAAGTAGTTAATAATGACAGTTTTACGATACCGCCTCTCCAAAAAATTATTTTGGCAACAACCCAAGAAAAATTTCAGCGTTACCGGAAAATTCTTGAAACTAAAAAAAGAGGAGATAGAGTTATTATAGAGGACATAGATAATACTAAAATTTCTTTCCAAACAAGTGAAGGAGGTATCTATACGCAACTAGAAATAGATACTTGTTGTGGTGAAGACGATATATCACTTTCTTCAAATGACAGAAAAAAATCAGTTCCAGTTTCCAATGAGTCAACCGGAAAAGAATTAACAACTCCTCATCCTTCTTCATCAATTATCAGTAAAACAGAAGGAGAGAGAAAGAGAGAAAGAGAGAAAGAGAGAACAAAAACAGCGATGAAGGAGAAAGTAGAAGAAACAAGTTCTTTCCTCAACCTAACAACCCAGTTATTCAAAGAAAATAAAAATTTTTCTCTAATCCTTTTAGGATTGGCAATATTGATTCCGGCTCTGACTCTGTTATGATTCAGTTTACCGGAAGACGACAAAAAGAAAGAGACGGTGAAATATCCAAAAAAAAAAAAAAAAAAAAGAAAAATAATTATTCAATCAAACAAACAAATTAAACATAAATTATCAACATTATGAAAAAAAAAGTAAGAAAAATCCAACTGGTTTGTGGGCAAGCCAAGCCGGCTGCCGTGGTTTCTTTAAATTTTAAAAAAGGGCCGGCGGCTTTTTGTAAGGAGTTTAACGAGAAAACTAAAAATAGAAACGGCGAACTGGTAAGGGTAAAAGTAACTTTTCATGGCGACGATACTTATGACTATGATATTGGCTCCCCCCCTAGCACTTATTTAATAAAAAAAGCCCTTGGTGAGAAAAAAGAAATTAATCAAGAAGAATTAAAAAGAATATCTCAACAAATAATAACCAATTTAAATACTGATGATTTAGAAAGAGCGATGAAAATTGTAGCGGGAACAGTGCGAAGTTTCGGTGATATTAAGGTTATATAAGGAAATTTTTTTTGTAAGATTTTGAAATTGAGCGGGATTTGGGATTAAATTCAAATTTAATAATCAAATAATCGTTTAATTTTATAATGCGCAGTAGAAGCGGTAGTGGACTAGAGTCATTAATAAAACTTATAGCGCAATGAGTTGGGCATATAAACAAAGTACACAGAGGAAAAGAGAGAAAAAAAATATCAAGTTGCCGGGATTGTTGATTTTTTTATTTAATTTTGGTTGTCATTCCTTTTACTTATATTTTTGTCTGGAATTATTTAAGAAAAAAATAAAAAGATAAATATATTGATAATATTATGGTTAACTCATTAGGAACAAATTTCAGTGCGGCAGAAGGTGACCGGGGAATAAGAGATATTTTGTTTTATTCTGGTTTGGCTATTATTGTAATCATAGTTCTGGCGGCTCCATTTTGTATTCTCGCTGTGGTGGAATGATTTTTAGATAAAAGAAGATTCGATGCCCAATGTGAAGAAGTTGAGTTAAAAAACAAAATCACCAAGGACATAACTTACGACCAATTACAAAAGGATAATAAGCGAAAAAATATTCTGGGTAATATTGAACTTTACCAAAAAATATCAGTGTTGGAAGACGAATTTGAAAAAGAGCAAAATCCGGAAATTCGGCAGCGTCGTTTAGCCTTGTTGGCAAAATTAGAAGAGGCTTTTGAAATAGAAGTGGGCAAGAAAAAAGAGTCGTTGTCTGAACAAGAAAAGCCCAAATTGACTGATAAGGAAGAAAAAGAAAAATAAAGATATATGGTTATTGGTCTAGTGGAATTAAAAGCGGCGGGAGTTCATTTTGGTAATTTAATCCGGAAGTGAAATCCGCACATGAAACCTTATGTTTACCAAAAGAGTAAAAAGATTTATATTTTAGATTGGGGAAAAATTATTAAGAGTTGTGATAAAGTAGAGGATTATATTGAGAAAGTATTGGGAGAAGGGAAAAATATTCTGTTTTTAGCCACCAAAAAATCGGCCCGGGAAATTGTGAAAGAACAAGCCCTTAATTGCGGAATGCCTTTTATTGTTGACAAATGAAAAGGAGGATTTTTGACTAATTTTCCAGAAATAAAAAAAAAACTTCGTGAATTACAAAATTTAACTGCTTTTCTTCAAAAAGATAGTTTTCAAAATCTAGTCAAGAAAGAGCAAGTAAAAATTCAAAAGAGACATAAAGAATTGTATAGTGTTTACGAAGGGGTGGTGAGTTGTGAGCAACGACCTAATGCGTTATTTATTATTGGCTTAGAACAAGAAAAAACCGCTTTAAAAGAAGCCAAGAAAACCGGTATTCCAGTAATTGCCGTTTGTAATACCAATTGTAATCCCCAATTGGTTGATTATGCCTTACCAGGCAATGATGAGGAAAAAACAGCAGTTAATTTTTTTGCCAGTTTAGTAGCTAACGCCATCAAAAGAATTAAAGAAAAAGCGGGGCAAGAAGAACAAAAAATACATTAATTTTTTTAATTGGCGTAAAGGCAGTAGGGATTCACGAGAGAGGACCGCACAAAATAAGGTCGTGCTTTATCATGCGGAAAACAGCGAGATTAAGGAAGTATACGAGGCGACCAAAAATAACAGCAATTATCGGGCGATGTTTCGGAATTGTTGGGACACGCTGGTAATGAATTTTAGTGATGAGGAAGTGGAAAAAAATGGCTTGCTTACGACTTTGACCTTTAACACACGAAAGGATAATTTTGTTTTTTTCAGACAAGTTTTAACTTATAACTACTAAAAAATATAAAAAATATTGTGAGAGAAAATTAACAGATTATTAATGTTTTCAAATCAGAGTATAAAAGGGACTATGGCTCAGTCGGTTAGAGCACGCCCCCGATAAGGGCGAGGTCGGTGGTTCGATTCCACCTAGTCCTACCAAGTTTAGTTAAAATGGACTATCATGCTTTTATGCTATTGTATTTTGCCTAAAACAAAAAAATTACCAATAAGCCACCCAAACTTTTCACCAAAATCATCCAACTCTGATGTCTGACTAATGGTTTGGTTTATGAGTAATTTTTGGTGTTTGTGGAGGCTTGAAATTTACTACTCTGGATAAGCAAATAAATAATCAAGCCATCTTACAAATGGAACGAGCCGAATTGACCCGTATGCTTTCGAACATAGCATTACGATTATAACGCAATTATCCAATCTTTTTTAAATCAGTTATGAATAATAGTAATAACGAACTAGAGCAAGTTCCCCAACCGGATGAAAAAGAAAATATCACTCTACAAGTTAAAGATTTAAAAAAACGCAATATTGGATTTGAAAGTGAGAAATAAAAAGACTAACTAATTAGAAATAGTAATTGTGGTTAATCTTTGTTCAGTTTCATTTCAGGCATTTTGGGTGAAAATAAGATAATGAGGGGTTAGAACTTGGAAAACATTAATATTCTGACTTTCGGTAATTTTGGCATAAGGCAAATTGCGAAAAGCCTGACTCAGTTCTTTTTTATTTTCCTCCTCTTTTCCTAAAATAACTAAACTACTAACTTTTTTGTTTAGCAAATTGATAAGTATTTTTTCGGCCTCTTTCGTCTTGTAATTTTCGAGGATAATCTTTTCGATAATAATTATTTCCTTACGGCGTATTTTTTCACTTAGCAGTGATTGTAAAGCCTTTTTTTTGACTTTTTTGTTGGTAACGAGAGGAGACTTTTTTTCGCCTCGTGGTCCATGAGCTACGCCTCCACCAACGAAGTGGGGATTGCTCCTTGGACCTTGTCGTGCCATACCAGTTCCTTTCTGGCGACGCCACTTTTTAGTAGTTTTTTTAACCTCACTTTTATTTTTAGTTTTGTGAGTATTCTGGTGTTGATTAGAAAAATAACTACGGTAGGCCAAGGAAATGATCGGCCGCAAAAGAGGAACCTGCCAAATATTTGGATTAAGAAAAAGGCTACTTACTATATCCCCGTTTTGATTAATGACTTCCATTTTTTCCATTATAATTAAAATTAATCTTATATCAATATATGTTATCGTTAAGCAATCTCAAAATTAAAGAAATAACCAGTGAAAATAATCCTCATAGTTCTTCGTTTGTCTTCCAATATTTTCCTCCCACCCTAGAACTAACTATTGGAAATTTTTTGCGCCGCATTCTACTTACTTTATTGAGCGGAGTAGCCACTTTTGCTATCGAAATTAGGGTTAAAGACAAATCTGTGACTACTGACGACCAAATGGTTCCAGTGTTAACCAAATTTTCTACTTTGGTTGGAGTGGTTGAGACCACCCCCTACCTAATCCTCAACTGTAAGGGAATTCTTGCCGAAATTAAAGAAAAAAAAGACGAAATCTATTGTTTAGAAATGGATGTAAACAACCCAGAAGATAAAGAGTGTATTGTTACCGCCAACGATTTCCAATCTGATCCACATTTAGTAATTAAAAACCCCGATCTTTATTTGGCCACTTTGGCTCCATTTTCTCGTTTACAAATAAAATTATATTTTCGAGAAGACTTTGGTTACTATACAGCCGAAAAACAAGAAAAACATCTTCCCCAGGCTAAAAATGTAATTTTTTTCGATACGAATTATTCTCCAATCGAAGATGACGGAGTAAACTTTCAAGTCAACTCTGTGGCCACCGGACTAGAAAAAGAAGAAAAGGAATTAAAGTTAACTATTGACACCAATGGCACTATCTCTCCACGTCAAGCTCTTCTCCAAGCCTTAGAAATAAGTAATTATATTAACGACAAAATTAGAAACAAGTTGGTTAAATCTTAAAAAAGGAAGATATTGATTATTGTAAATGTAAATTCAGCAAATCATCTGCCATTCGACCTGAATTAACTTCAAACACATAGCAAAACGTCAACCAATCACAAAGGTCATTAATGAGTCGGGGAGGTGCTAAAAGACTTTATCAGGCGGCATTTATATGCTTTTTGGCGTCTTTTTCTTATGTTCTTTCTTTTGTGGGTATCGTAGTAAACAATAGATTTTTCCTAATTTTTTGTATTTTCCCCAAAGGCTTAACTTAATTTACAGTAAAAGGAAATCCTAAACAATTTAAAAACTGGGTATTTTCGGCCACGGAAGAAGAACTAAAAATCAGAGTAATTTGTAATCCTTGATTTTTAAAAGTCAAGTCGTAGGCCACAGCCGGAAAAATGCTTAATTTATTTATCCCAAAATTGTAATTACCTCATTTATCAAATTTTTTTTGAGAAAGTCCTTGATTGTTAGTAATTTTTTCATCAGACGATAAAGCAATTTGAATTAATTCAAAAAGAAAATCTCACATTCTTTTTTTTCTTAACGTTACCTTACAACCAAGTGGCATTCCTTCTCGCAATTTAAAATTAGTAATTGACTTTTTAGCATGAGTAATAACTGGCTTTTGACCTGTAATTTGGTGAAGAGCCTGAACTGTATTGTCTAATAATTGCTTATTATTAACAGCCTGACCGACGCCGCTATTCAGAATAATTTTTTTCAGAGTAGTAGTTTGGTACGGAGAAGTGTGCTGAAATTTTTGCCCTAGTTCCTTATTTACTTGTTTTCTTTTATTTTCCCATCAATCGTTTACAATAATAGGCATATATTATTTTTACTAGTTTTCTTTTATTTTCCCATCAATCGTTTACAATAATAGGCATATATTATTTTTACTAGTTCTTGTTTTTTGGTTCATACTTATTTTGCTTTTTCATAATCTTCTAAAATGGCTTTAATTGTATGAGTAGCATTCTTCGCCATACTTTTTTCATTATAGGTAATCAGTGCTTTTCAAAGTGCTCATCCTCGCGCTCTGTTCCAAGTATTTTTATCACATCCCATTTTTTTGAAAAATATTTGTCTACTCTCTTTATCAAAAAAGGTCCACGCTATCACATAATCGCAAGACGGGTCTCCAACTCCCAGCATTCCAAAATCAATAATTCCGCAAAGTTTTCCGTTTTTCACGAGAAGATTACCAGGTGCAATATCGCCATGAACCCAAACACTTGCTTTCGTCCACTTTGACTCTAATGCTGCCTGTCAAATATTATTTAACTTATCGGTTGGCAACACTGATTTAAGTTTTTTGAGGGCTGCTTGTGTTTCCTCATGGTAAAAAGATAATTCTCCTCCGCGATAAAAATTGTGTTTTCCTGGACGTGTTCCATTAGAAGCGTCAATTGCTTGAAATTCCTTTAAAAACCCTGCCAAATCGGCGGCAAATTGCTTTAAGTCTGTAATGTTTTTATAGTTTGCGACATCTTCGACCATGGAAAGGGATAATTCGCCGTTGGTTGGCCTTTCGCTAATGGAGTAGAGATTGGTAAAGAAAGATATGGTTTTAATTTTGGTAGCCAAAATAGTTCTTTTTCAACTTGGTAAGCATAGTCTTTTCCGGTTGGCAACCTAACACTCATCTTATCGCCTGAGCGGAACGTTCTGTTGTCATGACCGCTTTTTTCCACTTGACAAATTGGCAAGCAACCATATTCAGGGAACTGATTCTTAATTAGTTTTTGAACCAACTCTTTATTTAATTTCATGAGACCTTTAATAATAAATATGAAAGAAGAATTAAAAGAGAAAGAGGAGAAAAGCAAAAAAAATCTCGGAGAAGAAACATATAAAAATATAAAAGTGTTTTTTAAAAAGTCAATGGAATTAACTTTGCAATTTCTTCCGGCTGATAAAAAAAAAGAAGCTTATCAAAAACTAAAAGAAAGTTATAAGGATACTTTAGTAGAAGATTGTTTTGATGATATTAAAATTGATGAAGAAGAAGAAAACAAAATAATATAAAAAAAATCAACTCGCTTCTTAAAATTATTAGACAATTATGAAAAAAGGAATTCACTTACCAATTCAGCAAATAATTATCACTTGTTTAGGTTGTAATCAACAATATCAAACCGTTTCAACTGTAACCAATGAAATCAAAATTGATAGTTGCCGTAATTGCGTTTATCCCGGAGCCTCTATTGGTCTAGCCAAGAAGGGAGCAGTAGAAAAGTTTCGGCAACGAGCCCAAAAAGTCAAATTGAAAAAAACTTAATGCCGTTAAGTTTTCCCCATATCAAGCAATTTGCGTCTCTACTTTTTCATGCTTTTTTTGAGTAGAAAAAAGTGTTTATCATTAGAAAATAAATAACGAGTAGAAGTAAAAAAACAAACATGAATAGCCCAGTTTCCCCTCTTTATTCTCATTTGTCGTTTAGTCTGTTCCTTAATTCAGTCAATTAATCCGATAATCTTTTATTATTATAACATTATAAATAAATAAAAACAATTTAAAATATTAATATAAATTTGTGGCTCTTAAAAGAAAAAACGGATGATTTGAAAAACTAAATTCTAACAAACCTAGAATGAAATCATCAAATGAACTGCAAAGCGAAGTCGAAGACACTCTTGTTTGTTATATTCTTTTAACAACGTGTTTTAAAATTTTGTTAAGATATTGATTAAATGAGTAGCAAAGATTTGATGCCTGAAAAACCGGAAGAAAAAAAGATGAGTAAAGAGGAATTACTAGTCAGTTATCGGTCAGTTTTATTCATGCTAAAAATGAAAAATAAAGTAGGACAATTAACAAAAACTCATCAAATTAAGCAGTTGAAGAAAGAAATCGCCCGCTTACTAACAAAAAAATAAAAAAAATGAAAAGGACTAAACAACCCAAGCAAAAGAGGGAGAAAAGGAAGTATGGCTTTTTGGCCCGGATGAAGAAAAATTATACCGTAGTAGTAGCCCGCCGAAAAAAAGGTCGGTGACAGTTAACATCCTAAAAGTGGCACGCCTATACCATATAGTTAAAAAAAATGGCAAAAAGAGTAAATAAGTCCCATAAGAAAAAACAGCCGTTATCTATTGTTGAAACTGAATCAACCAAGCCAACGAAATTAAAGAATAAGCAAAAAAAACCAAAAGCAAATATTCCGTTGGAATTTAAACAAGATTTCATTAAGATTTCTTCACGATTTAATAAGTATTGTAAAATCCTAATGGGGATAATTATTGCTTATATCTTTGCTTATCTTGGTTGAGAAAATCTTGTTTTCCAAATAATATCCTCGGGATGAACCAAAGATTGAGAGGAAACCGAAAAATTTTTCTTAACTTTAATAGGAGCGAGCCTCCAAGGGTTTCTTTTTAATTTGGATGGGGTAGTCACTACTCTCTTAAAATCTCCTTTCGGTCAAATATGTTTTGTGATTAATAGGTCGGGTCTAATGGCAGAAGAAGAAAAAGACTGGGTCATCGATGGTCTAACTGAAATTAACGAACAATGTAAGGAAACTCTAAAAAAATTAGGATTGTTGGCTCTCGTTAGCAAGTTGGGAAAATTATTGGAAGCAGTATGATACGGGACAAATCCGAAACAAGTGATTATTTACGAACAGATAATGTTGATTAGTTATTTTATTCCCCTAATAAAAGCTTACGACATAATTTTTAAGATTAGAGCAAAAATAAATGAGATACAGAAAAGATTAGAAAAAACTTACGCAAAACGCTAATAAAAAAAGTGACTTATTAGAACACCACAAAAAATACTCACCAAAGTAAACAAAGAAGAGCCGCGGGAATTCTTTCAGCCTCCGAAAGTTAAAAACAAAAGCATAGTAATAAGTGTTTCTGGCCCTCAGTTTTCTAACAGATATTTACGAAGAGTTCGGCGACGAGGAATTTGTCTAAGAAACACAATTTTTCGCCCGATTTTAAGAAAGAAGCGGAAAATGGCAGGAAAGAAGACAAGTAAAGCATATCACCAAAAATTAGCCGGGCACAAAAATGAAGGGTGTAAGCGGTCAAAAGCACAGGGATGAGCCACTAATAACCGAGTTAAAAACAAAATAATTGTTAATCCAGTTAATAGTTGGGTCAACAAATAGAAAATTTTTTTGGGGTTGGTTTTTGCTTCTAATTTATTCATAGAAAGTAGCTTGGAGGGTGAAAGCATTTTTTTCTGTAAGTTTTTAAAAAGTGAGCGGAGGACTGTGTTTAATATTAACTCTACCACTGCTATTTTAAGAAGCATTTCGGCCCACAAATGTTTTCTTAATCCTTGACTTAGTCAATTAAGCGGCCTCAGAAAAAAAAAAACGGCCGGGTCCTGTGTCAAAATTTCTCATCATTCCCTAGTGTCCAACTCGGCAACTATTAACTGACTACTGGCTAATAATCCTTTAATATCAGCAATAATTTTTTCCCGCAAACTTTTAAGTTTCTTTTGGTATGCTTCAGTTTCTACCAAAAAAGTTTTTTTTCATCTCTCTAAGTTATTAATTTCTTCTCTCAATCGGTCTAATTCTTGTAACTCCTTTCTTCTTTTTTCTTCGAGTAAAGCTGGTTCCGATAGACCAGTTTTTTTTCTGATTTGGGCAAAAATACCCTCGCTAACTTCTAACAAAGTCTTTTTTTTCCTGCCCCAGCAGTGAACTTCGGCGTGATCGCTAACTTTATTTATAGAGTCATAGTTATAATAATCTTCGTATTTAGTGAAGAAAAGATAATGGAAAGATAGAAATGAAAGAAAAAATCATAAAGCAGTTTTAATAATCCTTTTGGTTCCTTTTCTATTAAACATCATATAATTAAAATATTATTTTTGGTGCTTGACTTCGACTCAATTGACAACTGATAACAATTTAAATAAACTTTCCCGATTGGCCACAAAATTTTGCCCTAAATAAGCCGGGCGAAGCACTAGGATTAAATTAACATGGTGGTGGTTTGCCGTGGCGCAACAACTATCATTATGTTTTTTTAAGTGTTGGATTAGAATGCTGCGGATTTGTCTCTTAAAATAATTACGTTTCGCCGCCTTTTTAACTATTTTGCGGGGAATGCTAATACCAAAAAGGCAATTATTGACTTCATTTTTGGCCACAAAAACAGTGAATTGACGATTACCAAACTTTTTCCCTCTCGTAATAGTTTTTTGGAACTCTCATTTTTTCCGTAAACGATAAGGTTTTCACAACACTTTTTAATTCTAGATATTTATATTAATCGGTTCTTCTTAAAATTAAAAGAAATTTTAGTCATGGCAGAAAAAAAGTAGCAAGTTCTGTAAAGCCATGATTGGTAAAAGTTATAAAAGGAAAATCATAGTGATTGAAACCACAAAAATCCGCAATTTTGCTATCATTGCCCACATTGACCATGGCAAGTCAACCCTGGCTGACCGCTTATTAGAATTGACTAATTTCAAAAACAGCCAAAAATCATTGGAGAGAATTTTAGATAGCCTAGCACTAGAACAAGAAAAAGGAATAACCATTAAACTGAACGCAGTTCAACTTCGTTATCCTCCTGAAAGTCCAGAGCCTTACTTTTTTAACTTAATTGACACGCCTGGCCATGTAGACTTTATGTATGAAGTCTCACGTTCCTTGGCCGCATGCGAGGGAGTAATTCTTTTGGTTGATGCCAGCCAAGGCATTCAAGCCCAAACCCTAGCCTACTACGAGATTGCTAAACAACTCCAACTAAAAATTCTCCCCGTTATCAACAAAATTGATTTGCCCGCTGCCCGCACAAAAGAGATCCAAATTCAGTTACAAGAACTTCTTGGTTGTCAAGAAAAAAGTATAATATTAATTTCCGCCAAAACTGGACAAAACGTAAATTTATTGCTGAAAAAAATAATTTCTGATATTCCTCCGCCCCGACAAGAATCATGGCCTTAATGTCAAGAATGTTTATACACTCTCGTCAGTAAAAATTGAAAATTCTTCTTGAAGCGACAAAAAGAAGAAGTATTTATTGTCTAAGACTGGTGAAGCCAATGAAATGTTTAAAGAAACCTTTAAGAAATTCGGTTTATTAGCTATTCCTACTATCTTAACTGGATTAATTTATGCGGCTTGACACTCTCATTCTATCGCTAATATTTGCTATTTAGTCCCAGTTCTTTATGCCGGAGTGAAAATTTGACAATCGGAAAAGTTGATTAGGAAAATTAAGAGGAGGGGGAAGGAAAAAATAGAACCTTAACGCCCTTTACTCTTCACCTGTTTATAATATCTTATTAACTCCTCCTTAGCCACATTTATAATTTTTACTAATATTATCTCTTGTAATTAAACCGCTATGTTTTCTTCTCGCTATGACTTTTCCGCTACTGAACAAAATGAAAATCACAACTGCTGGCAACAAGCAATTAGTCAGACGAAAACGACAAAAACTTTACTTTTACCACCACCCAATATTACCGGCAATTTACATTTAGGACATGCTCTAAATTCTATCCTTCAAGACTTTCTGGTGCGTCTTTCTTATTTACAAAAAAAACCAATCAAATGAATTGCGGGTATTGACCATGCGGGTATTGCTACCCAAAGCAAAATTGAAAAATTAAAACTAACCAAACTTAACACTGACGAAAAGAAAAAAGAGTATGCTCTTCAAACTTGGTATCCGCAAAACCGAAAAATTTTTACTCAACAATGGCAAAAATTAGGTTTGTTGCTGGATTATGAAAAAGCCAGTTTCACCTTAGACCCAACCATTCAAAACCAAGTTAAGGAAGCATTTATAAAACTTTACCGGGATGAGTTAATTTTTCGGGGGGAAAAGTTAGTTAACTGAGACCCACGATTACAAAGCGTAATTTCGGATATTGAAGTCGAACACCATCCGACACAAAGCAAATTATACTACTTGAAGTATCCACTAATAAACAATAATGATTATCTATTAGTTGCCACTAGTCGACCCGAAACCATTTTTGTCGACGTGGCTTTGTTGGTTAATCCCCACGATAAAAGATATCAAAAATATATCGGTCAGCAAGTTCAGCACCCAGTTACAAAAAAAATTATTCCGGTTTTGGCTGAGGAAAAAGTAGAGGTTGCTTTTGGCACCGGAGTCTTAAAATGCACACCCGGACACGATTTTATAGATTACGAGTTAGGGCAAAAGCACCAACTTCCCATAGTCAGTTGCTGTGACGAAAAAGGAATATTAAATGAATTGGCTGGAGAATGAAAAGGGCAAAAAATAAGTGATGTTCGGGAATTATTGGTCCAGGAGTTAGAAAAAAAAGGAATTTGTCAAAAAGTAGAAAATTACGTAACCAATTTGGCTTATTCTACCAAGTCTGGAGCCGTGCTCGAGCCTTTGCTTTCCCAGCAATGGTTTCTCGACTTACCGAATTTAATCAAAAAAATTGAGCAAAAGCAGCCCGATTACTTGGAAAAAATTATTTTTTTCCCGCTGTCTTTTCGCCAAACCCTAGAAAATTGGAAAATTAGAGCTCGAGAATGGTGTCTTTCCCGCCAATTATGATGAGGCCATCGTATACCAGCCTGGTATCACAAAAAAACGAGAGAAATTTATGTTGGTAAAGAATTGGACAAATGCGGTTGCGTAGAGAAATATAAAAGAAATCCAAACCTTATCTGCCTAGAACACAAATGTTCTTTGTGAGAATGAGAAGCCGAAAAAGATGTTTTAGACACCTGATTTTCCAGCGGTTTATGACCGTTGATTGCTCTCGCCCAAGAAAATGACCAATTTCCTTCCATGCTGAAAAAATTCTATCCAATAACTACTCTGATTACGGGTTATGATATCATTTTTTTTTGAGTATTAAAAATGATATTGTTGGGAACTTATTTTGCTGGTCGGGTGCCCTTCCAACAAGTATTATTACACGGCTTAATCCGTGATAGTCAGGGAAGAAAAATGTCTAAATCGCTCGGTAATGGTGTGGAACCAGAAGAAATTATTACGAAATATGGTTGCGATAGCTTACGGCTATTTTTGCTCGAAAATAATGTTTGAGGTTCGGATTTAATTTATGAAGAAAGTAAAATTATTGGTAGTTGACGTTTTTGCCAAAAACTTTGGAGTATTGCTAATTTGCTAACTCAAAAAATCCCAGCCGAAGAACTAAGAATAATTAAAAAAAAGGATTTAGACTTTAAAAATGACGATTCACTTAACAATTGAATTTTAAAGGAATTAGCTCTTTGTCAAAAAAATTACCTGTTTTTGACGGGAGAAAATAAATACGAAATCGGGAAAATAATTACTCAACTTATCAAATTTACCCGGGAAAAATTAAGTAACGATTACTTAGAATTAGTAAAAATATCTTCCTGAGGCAAAAACACCAAAAATACGCTGCTTTTTGTTTATCAACAATTACTTTTATTACTTCATCCTGCTATTCCTTTTCTCACGGAGTATATTTATCAAAAAATTACTCAGAAAAAGCTGCTATCAGCGGAAATTGAAACCGTTAACGAAACAAAAAACCACGACTTATGATTAGTAGACTGTCTTCTCTTACTAATGGAAAAAATTCGGGCTTGTCATGAGCGTGAGGAAAAAATTCTATATTTTGAATTAATGCCGGAATGGCAAACTAAATATTGCTCCCAACTAGATTTTAACCAGTTTCTTTTTCCCTTAACCAAAAGCCACATTCAATTAGTTAGCCCCACGGAAAAAATTGCGGTTTGCTCACTCATTGATATACATCCCTTTGGAGTGCTGAAAATTGTGGAGAAATTTCCTATTCCCAAAAATCGCACCGAAGACGAAAAAAAAATCGCATTTTATCAAGCCGAACAACAACGAAGCCAAAAATTACTGGCTAATAAAATCTTTGTCGAAAAGGCTCCGGCTTGGTTAGTAGCCCAAGAAAAAGAAAAATTAAAATATTATGAAAAAATAATTAGAAAATTATTGAAGCAATAACTCTCAACCAGGTTTTCATATCGATTAAGATATTAACAAAAAAATAAAAAATACAATATGGATAACAATTTGGAAAAAAGTTTACAAACTGAAAAGGAAACTGTTCAGCGGACAAATTATCCAAATTTTTCGCTTTTGACGGATTGCCGCGTAAATTAATTTTCTCCAAATTAGGAAATTTAGTGAAAACAATACTTGATTCTGTTTGTTCTCATTCTTTCTATTTTTAGCCTCCCTTGTTTGCATTTGCCAATTAATAAAAAAGATTTTAAATTATACTAATAGTTAAGAAAATACTGATAAAAACCAAAACTTTCACCCTTGTGTCAACCAAATTTTTTGGTTACAATTTTATTTATATAGCGAAAAATTTTTTATGGAAAAGGAGTTTTTACCACATCTTAATGTGCAAACTAATTCTAATCTTTCGTGGTCTTTACTCACTGTTTCACAATTAATCGATTTTTGGGATAATTGTCCAAGAAAATTGAATTATCTGGCTATTGCGGATTATTATCCTTACGAAGTGGGCAGCTTTCTTCGTAGTTGTAAAGAGAAAAACATTAAACCAGTTTGGGGGGTAAAAATCTTTGTGAGGGTAGAGGAAGGAAAAAAATACTCCGCTACTATTTATCCACAAAATAACCGAGCAGGTCGAGAAATTATTACTAAATTATTCGGCCCCGCTTCTCCTCCCGATCGCACTTTTGCTTGGGATTACGTGTTAAGTAATTTTAGCAAGGATTGCTTCATTGTGGGTGAAGTACAGCAACGAGATGATATTAATTTTTTTTCCCAATTTATTGCCACCAGTCCCAATATTTTTATTGGTCTAAATTTTTTTTTCCTCAATCCTACTCAATACCTTGGTAACTCCATTATTTCTCGGTTAATTCCTTTTTGGTCGGTCAAAGTGAAGACCGAACAAGAAGTAGACTTGCTAAACTTGGCAAAAAAAACTACTTTTAGTCAACATTTTTTTTCCACCGACGTCCAAACTAACTTTCTCCCCTATTATGACACTCAAAAATATTTTTCTCATTGTGTTAACGATCCAGCAGTTTACCAACTGTTATTACTCCAATGACAAACTTTTCTCACTAAAATTAGTCTCACTCCTGCCCTTTTGGGGACAAAAAGTCGTAAGTCCAAAGAAGACGGTTCTTCCCTACTAACTTTAAAAAGCAGATGCTGACAACAATTACTCACACTTAAAAGAGAAGGTCGCGAAGATTATCAAAAGGTTTTAGAAAAAGAATTAGTAGTTATCGAAAAATTAGGTTATGTGGATTATTTTTTGTTATTTAGCGAGGTAGCGGAGTATTTACGGGGTCAAAATATTATTGTTGGACCGGGCCGAGGCAGTGCCGTTTCTTCTTTGGTAGTCTATTTGCTAGGAATAACTAGTATTGATCCCTTACAGCATAACTTATTTTTTGAGAGATTTTTGAACGAGAAGAGAAAAAAATTACCGGATATTGACCTTGACGTTGAAAGCCAAGAAGAAGTATTTGATTACTTACGAAAAAAGTACTCACCAAACCAAGTAGCCCGTATTGTCACTCGAAAAAAAATCGGTTGGAAGATGGCTGGACTGGAAAGTGCTAAAATTTGTTATGTTTCCGAATCAGATTGAAAAAAAATCTCTTCCTTATTGAGCAAAAATCTTCATGGGGATGACTTAAAATTACAACCGTGAAAAGTTCGTTATCCTTCTTTTTTGGCTCTAACTGAGAAAATTCAAGATTTATATTACAATACCAGCGTTCACCCGTCCGGAGTGGTTATCGCTGAACGTTCATTAGTTGGAACTGTTCCAGTTAAATCCGAAAAAGATTTTCTAGTAACTTTTTTTGAAGAGAACCAATTAACTCAATTGGGCTTCAAAAAATATGATTTTCTGAGCCTGAAAGAAACACTAAGTTTTGTCAGCCTCATCAAAGGACTTTCTTCGCTTCGTCGGAAATCGCCATCTTATCACGAAGTAGACTTGACTGATCCGAAAACTTGGAAGTTGTTAACCCATTTCTGTTTAACGGGCATTTTTCAACTTGATACTCCTAACGCTCGGAATTTATTCAGCCGTTTTCGGCCTAGTAATTTTGCAGAATTAGTGATTTTTCTCGCTTTAAATCGACCCGGAATGAAGAAACGGGTCAATGAAATCATTAGCCGAAAAATTGGCCGAGAGAAATCTACTTTCGTTTCGCCCGTTTTAACAAAAATCTTCTCTGAAACTTTCGGCTTGGTAGTTTTTGAGGAACAGATTAGCCAGATTCTGGCTCTGGTCTATGATTGTTCTTTTGCCGAAGCTGAAGTTAAAAGACGAACAATGGCAACTGCCGGCTTGACCAAAGATTTTTTCGCTCGGACTCGCCAGCAAAAATTAGTGCGAACCGACAGTGAACTACTCTACCAGCAAATTACTTCCGCCCAAGGTTATACTTTCAATAAAGCCCATGCAGTAGCCTACGGATATCTAACTTATTACGTCGCTTACTTAAAAGCCAACTTTTTCCCTGAATTTATTATTTATTTTCTCAACGAAAAAAAAGGTAAAAATTTAGTTTGTCTCCAAGAAGCTTTTGCCTGGGGTTTCGAGTTGAGAGGTCCTGATATTAATTATTCCCAAGTTGGTTGAAGTTACCAAGAAAATGTTCTAATCATGGGATTTAACAGTTTAAAAAATTACCAAGTTAATTTTTTTTCGGCTCTCCTTGAAGAAAGAGAAAAGAATGGTCTTTTTTCCAATTGAGAAAATTTTTTGTTACGCACTAGCGAGTTATGAAAAAACGTTGAGTTGGTTAATTTTCTTTCCTGAACCAAAAGCGGATTACTTGCTAGTCTGGGTGTTGACACGAAAACTTTGGAAACTAGTGCTTCGGCCCTTTTTCGCTATCTACAACTTCGTCAAAAAATTCCTACTGCCAACAATGTCAATTTGCCCTTTTTGGACTTAACATTCCGGTCCAAAAATCTTACCTACCAACAAATTAATCAACGCGAATGAGAAAGTTTAGGGTGTTATCTCAGTTTTTTTTCTCGTTACCAAGAAATAACCAAAAGCAAGCAAGCAACTTCATTATCGGCAACTTTTCGGGAATACAATAACCAAGAAATAACTGTCGATATTTACGCTATTATTTGTCAAATCAACAAAGATAATGCTGATACTTGGACGATTTGGCTACAAGATGTTCGTAGCTCTTTCAAATTGGAAATCAAAGACCAGGAATACCAAATTTACCAAAAAATTTTAGCAATTCATAACGAATTATTGTTTACTTGTCAAATCCAAATCATCAACCAAAAAATTAACTTTATTAATTTAAAAAGAGTGCGTGAAATGCAACAAGATATTAGTTTCATTAACGCTACTTCTTAATGCTGTCATTTTTTATACTATTTATTTTTTCTTATCAGAAGTTTTTTCCTTAACCATTTTTCGGTCTAGTCTATAAGTCGAAAGTCAAGAAAAATGAGTAAAGAAAACAGCCAAGAAAAAGTAAAAGTTCGAGGTCTGCTCACTTCCCGTATCGAAAAAAAACCCAGCATGGATATTCCTGCCTACGGATTTTTTAGTTTGGAAGGAGAGATGAAGACGGATATTCCCGTAGTTTTTCGGATTAGAGACCAAGAAGGTCAATGGCTTAAACCCAAAATCCCCAAAAATTCCCTAGTCGATTTAGAAGGGTATTGGGCCAAAAGTTCTAATGGTAATTCTCG